TTTCAAGTAATCTCAACAGCCACAAGTAACTAGAGGTTCCATGTTGGACAGCATACATCTGTAACATAAGTGGGTCAAATACCTTTCCTAAATTTCTAATGCACAGTGACATAATCAACAGGTCGTAAGTAAGCAAATACAAAATACTTTAAAGGTAATTGTAGGTTTACAACAGAGTCAAACTTAAGAAACACAGTTAATGTTTATTGCGCATTTATTGTGTACCAACCTCTAAATGCTTTTCAAACATAATCTCATTTGATCATCACCAAGGCTACTGATGTAGGTACTAGTAATATCTCCGCCTCACAGATGAAAAAACTGAGACACAGGAAAAGTAAGTAACAATTTAACTAGGGCTGTGCTCTTAAACACTACACATGCTACACTGCAAGAAAAATGCCAAGAGAAATCAAATGCCGTGTTTTTAAAATCAGAATACAGAAGATGGCCATGAAAGAAAAGATAAAGTATGGAATAAGGAAGCAAAAATTCTTTCCTGTGGAATTTTTTTTTTTTTTTTTTTGAGACAGAGTCTCACTATGCTGCCCTGGGTAGAGTGCTGTAGCTTGACAGCTCACAGCAACCTCAAACTCTTCAGCTTAAGCAATTCTCTTACATCAGCCTCCCAAGTAGCTGGGACTATAGGCACCCACCACAACACCCAGCTATTTTTTGGTTATAGTTGTCATTGTTGTTTGGCGGGCCCGGGCTGAATTCGAACCCGCCAGCTCTGGTGTACGTGGCTGGTGCCCTAGCTGCTGAGCTACAGGCACCGAGCCAAATTAACAGATTTTTAAAACTGAATGTCAGGGCGGTGCCTATAGTTCAGTGGGTAGGGCATCAGCCACATATACCCAGGCCAGCAGGTTTGAACCCAGCCCGGTCCAGCTAAAACAATGACAATTGCAACAACAACAACAAAAAATAGCCAGGCGTTGTGGCAGGTGCCTATAGTCCCAGTTACTTGGGAGGCTGAGGCAAGAGAATCACTTAAGCCTAAGAGTTTGAGGTTACTATGAGCTGTGATTGTTATGGCACTCTACCCAGGGCAACAGCTTGAGACTCTGTCTCAAAAAAAAAAACCAACTAAATGTCATATAATACTTTTCCACAAGGAAGCCCAATCTCCAAAAATATATAATTTTAGACTAGAATTTTTAAACCATTATTAACACAAGTATTTTAATCTTAAACTAGTTACATAAAACAGAAATATTGCCCAATATTGAAAAGTGTAAAGAAAAAGTAAAGAGTAATAATAGTTTTAAAGTTAAGGATTTCAATAGAATATTAATTGAGGGTACATGTGAAATTTACTAAGGGTAGAATATAAATGTCTTAACATAATAAGAAAATGCCATGAAGGCTATGTTAACCAGTTTGATGAAAATATTTCAAATTGTATACAAACCAGCACATTGTACCCCATGATTGCATTAATGTACACCGCTATGATTTAATAAAAAAAAAAACTGAGAAGCTGTGCTTTTCCTTTTTGAAATACTTTTTCTATTTCTGATTTTATTAATCTAATTTTATTGTGGGCCTTCTCTTTTATGAAGTCTCATTCACCTATCATTTCAAAGACTAAAAAAGTATGAGAAAATAAAATGAGCAAAATAAATCTAGCTTCTTCCTATATCTCAATTCCAAGAAAAAACAGAATGTACAATACTGAACATCAAATAGTGACATCACACCTCCAGATTTTTACCTAAGGGGACAGAGTTTACTTTCACTTGCACATGCTATCAGAAGAATGATACAAGTACCACCTAATGTTCATAAGAAGGTTAGAAAAAATGCTAGACGTCTCTTCAGAAAATAACATCCAAAAATTCCTCACCTGAACAAAACAGCCCCCTGTTAAAGTCTGTGATCAGAGCTTAAATTGTCTGACCCTTTTGTGTACTTAATCCCAAGATAAGGATAGCCTTGATCCACAGTTGAAGGCCATGGCTGTCCACACACTTTGACGTTTTCAGGGTGTCACTGGAAAGCTTGATCACGCCACCTTCAGTTACATAATAAACCTATCACCATACAGTTTTTACTATCCCTCCCTCGTATTCAAAACTTCACAGAAGTGGCCAGATCTGAGAGGAGGGCCTCTTAAGGGAAGAGTTCATCTCACAATGTGCCTGGGCTGATGTTTAGCAACAAAACAAATATGTTAAGAGAGTCGATCTGCCACCTGCCCACAACGGAGAAACACTTCAGCTCACTAAAAACATTCCCCAAAGTATGTTCACATTTTGTCATGATCTTTTTTTTTTTTTTGCAGTTTTGGCTGGGGCTGGGTATATGGGGCTGGTGCCCTACTCCTTTGAGCCACAGGGCGCCTCCTAGTCATGATCATTACAGGCTATATGAGACATCTACAGGCTTTTGTTTTTTGTTTTTTCCTTTGGACTGCGTACTAGTGTGAGCACCAGGCACTGGGCCCAACCCTTTCACACACAGCACCTTGTATTATTCCTGCTGCGGTCTCCTCCAGCAGTCAGCAAAGGTTACAGTCAAAACGACTCTACCACTAAGTTGACGACTAAACTCAGAAATCCTCATGTAAAAGAATACATCATGAAAACATTATTTCCACCACAAAGTCTTAACATTACTGTATCATTTATAAATGTCTTTGGTTCTTTGATTACTCTCAAAACAGATCCAACAGAAATAAATTTTAAGTCCAAAACAATCTTTTTAAATACCCAATACAAGTAATTAAATTCACATGTGTGCTAAAATATAAATCATAAATGTGCACATAATCACTATACATGTAGATTATGACTTTAGAATGCAAAATAAAAACTTACATTAAGTAATTCTTAAAAAATCTAATATTTTAATATATGATTCAAGATAAAATGTCAACTTAAAATACACGTATAATTTAATATACAGTTAGGAAAATTGACAAACTATATTTTTATCAGTTTTATATTTGTATATCAACATGTAAAGAAATATGAATATTTTGCAAAAAAGCTATATTTAGCTATAATTTCCCATTTTCCCTATGTACGTACGCATGGTGACCTATAGGATACCCTGTAGAGCACTTTAAAAAAAGATTCCAGGTGGCTGGGAGCAGTAACTCACTACTGTAATCCTAGCACTCTGGGAGCTGAGGTGAGCACTCTGAGCCTGAGCTTAGGAGTTCAAAACCAGCCTGAGCCAGAGTGAGACCTCATCTCAAAAAATAGCCGGGCGTTGTGGCGGGCACCTATAGTGCCGGCTACTTGGGAGGCTGAGGCAAGAAGATCACTTGAGCCCAAGAGTTTGAAGCTGCTGTGACCTAAGACACCGCAGCACTTTACCAAAGGTGACAAAGACTATCGTAAAACAATAACAAAGAAAAAGATTCCAAGAGTACATGTGAAATTTACTAAGTGTAGAATATAAATGTCTTAACACAGTAACTAAAAATGCCATGAAGGCTATGTTAACCAGTTTGATGAAAATATTTCAAATTGTATATAAAACCAGCACATTGTACCCTACCCCATGATTACATTAATGTACATGGCTATGATTTAATAAAAGAAAAGAAAGTATTTTAAGAGCCAGGTACACACAGTGTGGCTCACACTTATAGTCCCAGGTACTATGGCAGGAGGATCACTTGAGCCCAGGAGTTTGAGATTGGGGTGAGCTGTGATGACACCACTGCATACTAGCCAGAGTGACACAGTAAGATTGTCTCTCAAAAATATTGTCCATGGCTAAGCATGGTGACTCAGGCCCACAATCCTAGCACTCTGGGAGGCCAAGGCAGATAGATTGCTTGAGCTCAGAAGTTTGAGACCAACCTGAGCAAAGCCAGACCCCATAACTAAAAATAGCCAGGCATTGTTGAGGGCACCTATAGACCCAGCTACTTGGGAGGCTGAGGCAAGAGAATTGCTTGAGCCAAAAGTTTGAGGTTGCTGTGAGCTTTGATAGCCACAGCACTCTACCAAGGCAACAGAGACAGACTCAATCTCAAAAAGAAAAAAAAAAAAGGCTTCGCACCTGTGGCTCAAGCATCTAAGGTGCCAGCCACATACACTTGAACTGGCAGGTTCAAACCCAGCCCATGCCCGCCAAACAACAATGGCTACAACCAAAAAATAACTGGGCATTGTGGCGGGCACCTATAGTCCCAGCTACTTGGGAGGTAGAGGCAGGAGAATCGCTTAAACCCAGGAGTTGGAGGTTGCTGTGAGCTGTGATGCCATAGCACTCTACCCAGGGTGACAGCTTGAGGCTCTGTCTCAAAAAAAAAAAAAAAAAAATTTAATCCAGCTTAGCACCTGTGGCTCAAGTGGCTAAGGCACCAGCCACATACACCTGAGCTGGTGAGTTCGAATCTAGCCTGGGCCTGCCAAACAACAATGACAGCTGCAACCAAAAAATACCCGGGCATTGTGGCAGGCGCCTGTAGTCCCAGCTTCTTGGGAAGCAGAGGCAGGAGACTCACTTCAGCCCAGGAGTTGGAGGTTGCTATTAGCTGTGATGCCACAGAACTCTACCCAGGGTGACAGCTTGAGGCTCTGTCTCAAAAAAAAAAAAAAAAACAACAAAAGCCATTTCCCTTGTAATTGGGCCTTAACACCAGAAAATGCCAATGATTACAGCCTTCCCCTAATAAACAAAAGCCAACAAAGCAAAAAGGCAAGAGAAATTCATTCCGAGGCCAGCACAGTGGCTCACATCTGTAATCCCAGCACTCTGGGAGACCAAGGTGGGCAAACTGCTTGAGCTCACGAATTTGAGACCAGCCTGAGCAAGAGCAAGACTCTACTTCTATTAAAAACAGAAAAACTGAGGCAAGAGGATCACTTGAGCCCAAGAGTTGGAGGTTGCTGTGAGCTACAGTGACACCATGGAACTCTACCCACAGCAACCACTTAAGACTCAAAAAAATTTTTAAAATTCATTCAGAGTAAAGGAGGTTCATTTAGACACCAAAAAAGCTCAAGACAAAAACTGAACATATTCAGTAACCTTACCTGTTTCCGAAATGTATGTAACAGGATCCTGCCGTAAAATTTTACCAAGTTTAGAAGATAACAGCAATTTTTCTGGTTGCTTTTTGGCATTTTTTACCTGTGTTGTCTCCTCTGATTCTGAATCTGTATGTGTAAGGAAAATAAAACAAAACTTTGAAAAGAAAAACTATAACACAGTGTTTTTAAAATATTATGAACCAACTCCTCAAGGTCCTTTTTTTTTTTTGCAGTTTTTGGCCGGGGCCAGGTTTGAACCCGCCACCTCCGGTATATGGGGTCAGCACCCTACTCCTTGAGCCACAGGTGCTGCCCTCAAGGTCCTTTTCAAAGCGCATCTCCTGTGAACTCTCACAGGTTACTTCTGCCCAGTGTTAACCCCGGGGATTAGTTTTCTACTGCAGTGTAACAAACGACACAAATAAAGAACATAAACTTATACCCCATCATTCCAGAGGTCAGAAGGCCGTATGGGTCTGGTTGGGCTAAAGTCCAGGTGTCAGTGGGGCTGCGTTTCTTTCTAGATACTCTAGATAGAATCCATTTTCTTGCCTTTTCTGGTTCTTGGCTCACAGCCCCTTCCTCTATCTTCAAAATCAGGAGCATCAAGCAGAGTTCTTTCCACACTACTCTCTCTGATTCTCTCCCTCCCTCCATAGTTAATCTCTCTCAAAATCTCTTCTGGCTCCCTAGTTCCTGTTTGAGCCCACCTGAATAATCCAGGATCATCTCCCTATTTTAAGGACATCTAATTAGCCATCTTAATGCCATCTGCAACTTTTACTTTCTTTCGTTGTGTAGCCTAACACATTCACAAGTTCTAGGATATTCTGAGGGGCAATTATTCTGTCTGCCACAGAGCACTTAAATATAAATCAGGACAAAGAATGAGGACTCAGCATAGTGCCTGGTTAAAAAAATAATAATTTTATATATATATATATACACACACACTTACAAATCCTGTCTCTAGGACTGCAAAACGTACAACCTCTACGGAAAGCAGCCTGGAGACATCTCAAAGAACTAAGAGTAGATCTACCATTCAACCTAGTAATTTCACTACCAGGCATTTACTCAAAGGAAAAAGGGGCAGTTTAACATAAAGACACTTGCACTCAAATGTGTACCAGCACAATTCACAATTGCAGAAATGTAAAGACTACCCAAATGCCTTTCAATGCATGAGTGGATTAATAAAATGTGATACTGTGTATTATGTGTGGTACCATAAAGTATTACTCAGCCATAAAAAAACTGTAATTTAGTATCTTTTGTAACAACCTGGATGGACCTGGGGACCATTCTTTTAAGTGAACAATTACAAGAATGGAAAAACAAACACCACGTGTACTCAACACTAAACTGGAAATAGTCAGTCAACACTCACGTGCACATAAGTAAAACTCAACAGGAATCAAGTGGACGGAGGAGAGGGAAGGGGAGGGAAGGGGAGGG